AACACGCAGATGTTTGAGCATTTTCAGAGGCACTTGATTCGCTGGTTGAAAGGAGACATTTATGAAGGTGAACAAATCATAAAAATAGAAAGGCACATTACAGTGAGGAATGAAAATTGAGTAAGCCGGTCATGGAAAAAGGTGAGATGCGACTCTGATGTCATGATGATGATGCTTGGACCGGACGATATTATGTTGATGGTTTTTATCTCTTAGATATTATGATTTGTTTAGTTGTTTTGTCTGTTTATCATGTTGTTGTATTGTTGTCCTGAGTATGTGGTGTTGTAATTTTTGTGTCATTATGTGAAAGTTATTGTAATCGAATGATAAATTGAACACGAAATGATAACTTGAATTTAAATTAAAATATATTACGTACAACAAATTAAACACTCCAGAAAGTTTGCTATAAAAAATTTAGGTTGCAGAGTTAGACCCAATATTCAGACAATTTTTCCGATTGTGTTAGGGAAGACGACATGTGCTGCATAATCTTATCATTTTGTTGGCCGTATCCATTTCAGTTCTAATACGAGTGCTTTTCGGGTGCCCCTTTTTCTTCCGTCGCATTTGTTCATTATGCCAAATAATGTCCCCTTGATAAGTAGGCCAATAATCCTCCTTTGTCAACACAGAGAAGGGATTGATGTACACACTTAAAATGCTCTTTATTGTGTACACGAGGAATATATGGTGTATTGGGTCCAAGCGAATATGCGAACATGCCGCTGTGACATGAGAGCAAGGCATGCGAAATGCTTGAAACTTTCTGCAATCACACCAACCTCTATCTAGTTCGACCCGATAATATCCCCTTGGCCTCCCCTCATTATAATCCATTATCTCTTGTACACTGAACCAACCTTTAATACGGCCAAACACGATGACACTATGGGTGTTTGCTTTCGCAACCACCTCGTTAAATGTTTTCATCGTGCATTCACTGAACAACTGCCCTAATTGTAACACTGCCCTTCATTTTGAACTTCTTGTGTCAAACAATGACCCCATCCTGAAATATGTTGCTCTAACCAAAGCAGTAATTGGTAGGTTTCAGATGCCTTTGAATACAGAGTTCAATGATTCCACCAAATTTGTTGTCATGTGGCCCCATCGTTGACCATTGTCAAATTCCCGAGTCCACTTCTCCACTGGAATGTTATCAATCCACCTTAATGCCTCTGAGTTTGACAACCGGATTTCTTCGCGATAGTGTCGGAATGACGGTTCTGTTAAGGCATACCCTGCATTAATAACTTTCGTTCGAAGTGTCTTGTCTTTGATATGCATCATGAAGTTTTGTGTGATATGTCTAATGCAATAGAGATGTGTCAAAGGGGGATCCTGCCACCCATTATCAGGGTTATTGTATACACACAATCGATGGATGTCTGTCTGAAATCAAATAAAGGTTGGGTTGAGGAGTAATGTGTAATCGGAGATTCTTCAGAAAGAAATTCCATGCACCACCTATCTCACCTTCAACTAGAGCGAAGGCAATCAGAAAAACATTATTGTTCCCATCTTGTGCCACTTCCATGAGTAATGTTCCTTTATACTTCACGTATAACCAAGTTCCATCAATCTGTATAATTGGTTTGAAAAATGCAAAACCCATGGTTCAAACGCCCAGAACAATCGATGAAATATTCCATTTCCACTAACACGAGTTCTGTCTGGGGTAATTGTCGGGAGTGTCTCCAAAATTATAACAGTTCCCGGAGCATAATATTTGAGTGCCACCAAAAAGCTTGGAAATTATTTGTACGATTCCTTCCAATTACGGTACACAAGTTCAACTGCCTTAGTCCTCCCGATCCATGCCTTCCTGTAAGATGGAGTATAATTGAATCTTGTAGTGATATGAGAAATAATTGTACTCACCTTCAATGATGAATCCTTGCTAATAAGAGGCAAGATTTCTTGACATATTAGTTGAGAACTAAGCTTCCGATGATCCTGTGTCGGAACGGTGGTGACACATATGATACATCTCCTTCATACCATATCACCCAACCTACGTACAGTCAAACATCACACCATCGAAGTACCCAACCGTCATACGGATTTCATACACCACAAAAACCGTTGCTTCGTTTCTATCACGATTCAACATCTCAATACTATCAACCACCCCACCCACACATATCCTAACGAACAAGACCAAACTTCAACAACATGGACACCAATCTCTTTGGAAGCACAACACAGTGGGGCAAAATGATCGATGAGATGTATGATCCTGATGTACCAGGACCATCATATCAAGCACCTCATAATCAAGCGAGTCAGAACAGACCACAAACACCTTAGAAAAATCAACAGAGAGCAGTGAGACAAGGGGTGAGGCAAAAGCGGGGCCGTTTATGTCATACTGGGACCCGCTTAGGTTGAGAGGACGTCCAAAAAAAATATTCATGCGTTGTGTAATATTAAATATTAATATAAAATATTTTTAATTACTTTTATTTTATTTAAAAAAAATCATACAATAACACTGTCAAGCTAAGGAGGGTGACGCCTCCTCTCTGGAAATACATGCATGCGCCACACTGCATGACTTTACAGAGGAGGACAAGTCATGCAGTGTGGCGCCTCCTCGTTAAAATACATGCATGCGCCACATAGAGTGGTCACTCCTCTGTGTGACGAGTTTTTTTATTTGAAAAGTAATCATTTAGTAAATTTTTTGAAAAAATGATTATTTGAGGGAAAAAATTGAAATAAAATTATTTAAAAAAGAATTCTAAATTTAGAAATGGGACAAATAAATATAAGACGATATGCAGTGCTGATAATATTTAAACTCACGTACATCCTGCTTGGTTGCCATATTTATTCTCATATACATTTATTTCTTAATAAAAAGATAAATAAAAAATTTTGTTTGAAAGGTAAAGTTATTATTTAGTAATATAATTAGTTATTCCAGAAGATTTGTGATTATGTTCTTTAATTATTTAGAAGAATTTGATTCTCTAATATAAAGTACAAGTAATATTTATGCTAATAAATTTAAAAATTATAAAATTTATATTGGAAAATAAAATGAAAACATTAATTATCAATTATTAATTAAAATAATTTATAATTTTCAATGAATAAACATTTAACATTTAACATGTGCCGGGTACATATTAACATTATACAAAAATATTAATTATTCTCTAGTTTGAGTTTTTAAATGGGACAAATTTGTCATTATTCAGGACATTTATTAAGAGATAAAAAAAATAAGTTGAAAATTATTTTAAAAATTGATAAAATAAGTTTTTCTAAAAATATATGTATTAATTATATTAAAAATATTTTTTATTTAAAATTCTTAACCTACACTCTCGGACATTAGATACCGATTAGCATTACCTTTTAAATATTATTAATTATATTTATTCTTTAATTTTTAATAAAATGAATTATTTTTCATTGTCTAATTCATTTTTCATCGTCTAAAATTAAAATAATAAGCTTTTTTTCTTCCGAAAAAAATACAATTCAATTCTCGTTGTCTGAGAACATTAAGCACACTGCTCACACTTTATCTATCAGATGAAACTTATGAGGACAAAAATTTATATTGCCCAATTTTCAATTAAAAATATAATTAGGTGAAGTAAATTAATAAGTAATCAAAGATTAATGTCCCCTTGCCTAACAAAATAATGCACTAGACCATGATGGATGTACTTGTCCTAACTCCTACCTAACAATCAACGTTATAATTTCAGTTTTTTCTAGACCTGAAAAGCCGGAAAATTAAATCACTTTTATCCATTTTTTATCATATTAGGTTTCCACTTTTTTTTGTGATAATGTTTTCTTATGATAAAGACTTTTTATAAAAAATTCTATAAAAATATATATTTACAAAAAGTATATTAGCAAAAATAAAGCATGACAGCATAAAATATATCATTGAAAAAAAGCTTAATTAAAAGTTTGATCTCATTTCTTTTACTTGAATTACAAAAATAATTTAATTTTTTTAAATTTAAATAATTTTAATTTTATTTTACATTTTTGTATTTAAAATTGACAATATTTTTATTTATAAATTATATGTCATTTGTGCACTTGACAAAATAATTTTTTTTATAAAATTTTATGAATAAAAAATAATGTGTTATCAATTTTCAATATAAAAAATACAAAAAAATGAGAGCAAAATCTCAACGGTTTAAATATAAAATAAATGAAAAATTATTTTCATAAATAAAAAAATTAGAGAATTAAAATTATAGTCAAGTTTAAAAATAAAATAAGTTATTATTATAAAAAACAGGAGCACACTGAATAAAAAAACAGGAGCACACTGAATAAAAAAACAGGAGCACACAGTTTTTATTTCTGTTGTGTTGAGATTTACGAGGAGAGAGGACAAACATTTTCAGTTTAGTTTTTTTACTCTTTTTCTGTGGGCTTCCAAGCAAGAGAATCTAAACATGAAGTGTCCCAATGAAAACAAGTCACCTACTCAAATAAGCCAAACCTTCTATTATTAATATTATCATCATATGTCATTATTTCATTTTTTAATAGTTTAATTTATTGTTAGTTTAGTATTATTCTAAATTTACAATTAAAAATTATCCCAAATAGGAATCTCAAATAAGTAACTCTAAATATTTTTGGACCTATAAAATATTAAACTCTAGAAATTATGATTATCATATATAAAATGCATATTATAAAGTAAATTCTAGAAATTATTAATACCGCATAAAGGGTCCTAAAGTGAACGTGGCTTTCATTTTCTCCTTATAAAACCTAATCACATTTCAATTCCGTGTCAAAACAAGTGTTCCAATGGTTTCCACTTTGCATCAAAACCATCACTCTCTTTCTTTTTGTCTCTCCCTTTTATTAACTGATAAAGATTCCAAACCAAACCTAAATCACACAACCAAAATTCCTCAAATCCTCTTCATCTTCAACTCATGAAAAAAATGGCCTTATAGTACACCTTAATTTGTGCTACAAATTTTCATATTTTTACTATGGAGGAAGTGAAACAAAACATGTTATTTGGAAAGTACGAGGTGGGAAGAGTACTAGGTAAAGGAACATTCGCAAAAGTGTTCTACGCGAAAGAAGTTTCCACAGGTGAAGGAGTAGCAATTAAGGTTATAGAGAAAGAAAAAGTGAGAAAAGAAGGAATGATGGAACAAATCAAACGCGAAATCTCCGTCATGAGTTTAGTAAAACATCCAAACATCGTAAACCTCAAAGAAGTCATGGCGACAAAGACAAAGATCTTGTTCGTCATGGAGTACGCTCGAGGTGGCGAATTATTCGACAAGCTCGCCAAAGGAAAATTCAAAGAAGAAAACGCGAGAAAATACTTTCAACAACTTATTAGCGCGGTTGATTATTGTCATAGTCGCGGTGTTTCACACCGCGACTTAAAACCAGAGAACCTTTTACTCGACGAAAACGAGAATCTTAAGGTCTCTGATTTTGGTCTCTCGGCATTGCCTGAACAGCTACGCCAAGACGGACTTTTACATACTCAATGTGGGACTCCGGCGTACGTGGCGCCGGAGGTTGTTAGAAAAAAAGGTTATAACGGTTTTAAGGCGGATACTTGGTCATGTGGTGTTATTCTATATACTTTACTTGCTGGATTTTTACCTTTTCAACATGAGAATTTGATTTCCATGTATAATAAGGTTTTCAAAGAAGAGTATCAATTTCCACCGTGGTTTTCATCTGATTCGAAGAGGCTAATCTCGAAGATTCTCGTGGCGAATCCTGAAAGAAGAATCAATATTCCTTCGATCATGAACTCACCATGGTTTCGAAAAGGTTTGAGTTTCAATGCTAATTCAAATGATAATTTGGAACTGGAATTGGAATCAAAGGTTAATTTGATTGATTCTTCTTCACCTGAATTCTTCAATGCGTTTGAGTTTATTTCAACTATGTCTTCGGGTTTTGATCTTTCGGGTTTGTTTGAGGAAAAGAAAAAAAGAGGTTCGGTTTTTACTTCAAAGTGTTCGGTTTTAGAGATAGTGACAAAAATTGAAACCGCTGCGAAAAGTTTAAGGTTTAAGGTTAAGAAAATGAAGGAATTTAAACTTAGGTTACAAGGGAATGTTGAAGGGAGAAAAGGAAAGTTGGCGGTTACGGCGGAGATATATGAGGTGGCGCCGGAGCTAGCGGTGGTTGAATTTTCGAAAAGCTCCGGTGATACTTTTGAGTATGTGAAGTTGTTTGAAGATGAGGTTAGGCCAGCACTCAACGACATTGTTTGGTCGTGGCAAGGGGAGTGATGCCATGTGTAAGGGTAACATGGCCTAATCAATGTCGTGCCTAAGATTCTTTTGAATTTTGGGTGTATAAAATATATGAATCATATATGAAAGTTGTGTATAATATTAATGTGGTGTATAATATATGATAGAGTTTGGTGCTTCTCTATGACTTATAGTAACAAACTTTTGTTTTTTGTATTTGATTTTGGCTTCTTTATTATTTTATATAAGTAGCTTGAATCTTATGTAGATTTAGATAGTGTGGTTTTAGATTTTTGGTGAGATTGTACATACTCTACATCATAGTAGTGTTGATTGAAAATTTTGACTATATGATTTTTAGTTGAAATGATATATTTTAAAGAATATAGTTCGAAAGAAAGAATAAAAGAATTTGTGTGAAGATTTTGACAGATGAAGAGTGTTGGCTCCTAAATTCGACACCTTTGTTTTGATTGATGGCAGCCATTAAAAGCTGAAAGATGCTTTCGACTGGCTAAGCCTGTCGAAGTGCCTGTCGAAAGATGGCAAAAATACTTAGAAGATTTCTTCCAAGGAAGAAGGCTGATTGCCTTCGACGTCGAAGGAGTTTTCGTCGAAGACGTCTCTTGACGAACATGTTCGATGGTCCAGAGTGGAGCGGTTTGAAATTCAAAGCTTTGGAGGGAAAACGGTTTCCAGCAGTTACTACGTGCTAACGTGCAAGGATCTGGAGCGTCGAACATGGAGAACGTGACAAGTGGCTGGATCTCGAAGCAGTGTAACTGCCCGACGGTTACTTGGAATGTTTTTGTATAAATAGGGGTAGACGTGTAGTTTCTCGCGTGTGTTCACAATAGATACATAGTCACTCATTTAGATTCAAGTACCCAGTGTGAGCGAACGAATTGTTGAGAAATGTATGTGTGAAACACCAATTTAATCAATTCAAGTCATTTACTTTTCCAGTATTTTACATGCTTTTCCCCTTTAAGATTCCTGTCGAACCTTTACATTCAAGCCTTGTTTATTTTACCAAGCCTTTCCTTTATGCAATTTACTTTAAACAATTTACTTAAAGCCTTATCCACATTAATTAAACTTCAAAATCAACCTATGTCCATAGGATCAATCTGATCGATCCTGCGAGTAACCAAATAAGTAACCATTTGGAGGATCAGCGGTTGTTTACCAAATCCCAAGGTAAACAAATTGGCACACCTGGTGGGACTGTGTGTTGATTGTTGAAAAAATCTCATCTTTTCGAGTTGTATGTTATTGAGGAGTGGTAGAATATACACCAACGATAATAATACTGCCAGAAGAAGGGAAGAGATGGCGAATCCGCCAAACAATAATGAAATTCCACCACCAAGTGTGGGAGCAACGGTTAATATGACCGTTAGTGAAGCGACGAATGTTGGTTCGATGCCAGCAGTGTCAGTCACAACCACGGGGCCAATAACTTCGTTAACAGGCCCCAGAATGCCTTTGGGAACCCCCCCACCAAGGGGAAATACTGGCCCAAGGCCAGTGGTTCCCCCAGGATTTATTCCATTCTATGGTATGCCAACTTCTGAATTGGCAAGCCTAACGAATGCTGCGTCCACTTATTCAGACCCTTTCGTGAGTGCCACTTCGCCACTCCAAGGCTCTGGAGTAGGCATGGCGAATAGAAATAGGACCCAACTCTTAGGAGGAACGTCCCAAGTAGCCCATGGCCTTACAAATGCCTCGACAGCAGTCTTGAGGCAACAGATGGACGAAAGCAACCATGATATGGTGCAAATGTTGGCACAAACTTTGAGTACAGTGCTAAATCCTCTAATACAAAATACTACTCAGTCGAATCAGCAAGTCACAGCGCAAATGACGCGTTTGGCTGACTTCTTTGGAGTACCCCCACCTATTCGACAGCCCCAAAGGGCGCAAATAAGAGGAAATCAGGGGATATTTGTAGAGGAAGAAACCACCATTAACCAGGTTCAACAGCCTGTTGAACAGCCTGTCGAAGAACCTAGGGTAATAGCCCCAGAGGTAAGGTTAGTTAACAGAAACCAAAATGCTGACGAAGTGGTTCAGCATATCCAACACCAAAACATGGGTTTGGAAAATAATCTGGCAACCATGATCGAAAGGATCATGACTCAGAATGGGATGAACATGGGTTTTCGAAGGCCCAACTTTACTTCTCCTTTGTCAGAATATGTGTTACAAACTGACCTACCCCCTAGAACCAAAGTCCCCAAATTTACTAAGTTCTCTGGGGACACGACAGAATCCACTGTCGAACATGTGGCAAGGTATTTGATCGAAGCAGGAGACATTTCAAATAATGAAAACCTAAGGATCAAATACTTCCCAAGTTCCTTAACCAAGAACGCTTTTACTTGGTTTACAACTCTACCCCCCAATTCGATCCACCATTGGACCCAATTGGAAAGATTGTTCCATGAACAATTCTATATGGGGCAAACCAAGATAAGCCTGAAAGAACTGGCGAGTGTGAAGAGACGTTTCACTGAACCTATAGACGAATATCTGAATAGGTTTAGGTTGCTTAAGGCGAGATGTTTTACACAAGTGCCAGAACATGAGCTGGTCGAAATGGCCGCAGGCGGTTTAGACTATTCCATTAGGAAGAAGCTAGATACCCAGTACCTAAGAGACATGGCCCAACTGGCCGATAGAGTTCGACAAGTCGAACGCCTTAAAGCTGAAAAAGCTAAGGCAACAAAAACTCACAAGAGAGAAAGAATAGCGTACGTTGAGATGGATGACGAAGATCTAGAATCCTTCGACGATACTTTAGCTGTCGAAGAAGGAGAAGTCGATTTAGCAGAACTAAAACAAGGGCCTCCATACTCTTGTAAACAGTTAGTCCCCTCAAATGGGAAAAATCCCATTGGTCCAGACAAGACCAACGATAGGTTCCCAAAAAAGACTTATAGTTTTGACATCACAAAATGTGATGAAATATTCGACTTGCTAGTTAAAGATGGCCAAATGATAGTACCCCCTGGGGTAAAAGTGCCTCCTCTTGATCAAAGAAAGAAGAGAGGTTTTTGCAAATATCATAATTTTCTAGGCCATAAAACTTCTCAATGTTTTCTTTTCAGGAATCTTGTCCAAGACGCTATTGAGGAAGGGAGATTAAAGTTTGCTGACAAATCCCCCATGGCTGTCGACTCCAATCCAATGAAGGCTGAAGCCCACTATGCAGAACCCTCTGAGGTGAACATGATAGAGGCTACCAAGATCCAGTCGAAGAAGCCAGGCATTAACATGGTCGAAGTCTCTAAGGACCACATCAACATGCCAATCTTTGGCAGTTTTTCTGGAAACTTATCCAGGAAGACAATTGAGGCTGTCCAGAAAGCGGTCGAAGACCCAAAGTCGAAGACTGCTGAAGCACAAAAAACTGGACCAAAGCCCAGTTCCCAATTGGCCACTGTACAAGGCCAGACGGAGAATCTGGAGACACAAATGAAACAACTAACTCTTGCTACTAAGGATACAATGAATATCAACATGGTTGAACTTTCTGACCCTAAAACTTCAGAAGAAGCCATAAGGCAAGAGCAGGCAAATAAAACGGCTTTCCCTAAGGAAAACGAAAACTTGGCAGATTTTTTACAAAGATGCCAGAAGAAGAAATCAGAGGTTATGCTGTGTCCAAGATGCAGTTCTATCTTTGATAAAAAAGCTGCTGAACACATACAAGGCGTGAGAGCAGCGAACAAGAGAAGGGAGAATTCTGACCTTCGACATGATCCCAGAAGGGGTTCTAATCAAGACAAGAGGCCTTTGACTTTTAGGCCTCCAACAAATGTACCAGTAGACACTTGGTACAAAACATCTGGCCGGAAAAGGCCAAGTGAAGAGAAATGGCATTCTTTCGAAGTGCCAAGAGGTTCCTCTTTAATTCAGAAGAAAGATCCTCAAGTTGCTGCACCCAAGGTTGCTCAAGTGTCCAGCAACTACAAGGGAAAAAATCCTATGTCGAGATCCCAATGGAGGAGATATCAAAGAAGGCGAAAAGCTGAAAGGGAGGCTGCCAACGAACCTAAGGCTGAGACTAGTTCGAATGTGCCTCAAAGGAAACAAAGAAAGCCTCTTGAGAGAGAACCGGTTACCAATAGGCTAGTTTGGCCTAACCAGAGCGAAGTCGAAGACGAAGATGATGCTGAGTCCGACGATACTTTGGATATAATGGTGAACGTTGTTTCAATGCTACCCAGGGAATTCAATCGACAAGTAGAAGTCGAAACCAGTGACTGGGAGATGGAACAAGAAATGGCCAGACACAGGCCAGTGTGCTATTTTGTCATGGACAATGGCACTACAGAGGAACAAAATGGCTTCTTCGAGCCACCTACAGAGGCGATGAAGAATCACCTCAAACCTTTGTTCATAAGGGCCAAGCTCGAAGAGACCACTGTGAACAAAATATTGGTCGACTGTGGGGCCACTATCAATATTATCCCTCATTCTGTGCTAATAAAGATTGGCAAAAGGGATGAAGAAATAAAACCTCACAATATGGTCCTGTCCAACTACGAGGGAGGCATTGGGACCACCATGGGAGTGATCCAGCTCGACATAAAAGTTGGGTCGATCCTTCGACCAACAATGTTCATGGTCATTTCGGCCAAACCTAACTACAACCTTTTGTTAGGCCGTGAGTGGATACATGGTGTGGGTGTTGTACCTTCATCGATGCATCAAAGACTGCTTCTATGGCGCCCGGATGGGCTGGTCGAAAACATAGAGGCTGATCAGAGTTACTACCTTGGCGAAGTAAACCACTTGGGTGTAACAGATTTCGACAAAAACTTGGCTCACATTGGGCCATGTCCAGCTCCTGACTTCGACATGGCGCCAGCGCCAAACACTTTTTGTTCCCTATACCTGCATCCTGAGCATGGTTTCCAATGGGACAGAGAGGACGTGTCCCACATAGAATTCAGTGGGCTAACTGGTATCCAACCAACTGGTTGGGGAAGTGAATTCAGTGATAAGGACTGAGTCACAATCTC